TAGCTACCCTTTGAATTTCTCCATTAACTCACTTGATCATTCAGAATTTACCTGACTACTGTGCTTAGAGAACATCATAGTGACAGTTTCCTTGACTTTCCTGTTCAGGGTGGCTCTTTTTATTTTTCACTATGCTCCCCCACCCTTTTTTTTTTCCCCTTTCTTCCTATTTATTTTGGTTTACTGTTTTTGGAGACAGGGGTTTCCTATGCAGCTCAGGCAAGTATGAAACACGTGTCCCAGGCTGGCCTCCTACAACCCTGCCTTAGCCTCATATGTGCTCCGGTGACAGGCATTTGCCACCAAACTCCACCCTTGATTTTTCTTTATAGGGTATAGGACATTCTGGTTATTTATCAGCTATGTAAAATTCACAAATATTCTTTATCATCTGGAGTAATGTGACATTTGATAAAGATGGCCCTGGGCTTGTCACTGACTCAAGAAGGTTAAACATGAATCCAGCTAGTGATTAAATACATGAATCTCACTTATGTATGCATCAAGATAAACTTCAGATGTACTGAGAAGAAAGCAGTGAGGGCTGCTGAGGGTTATAAATGTGCTCCTGACACCAGCAGCCTTTCCCAGACACTGAAATAACACAGATGACTCCTGGAAACAAGGTCAATGAGCAGAAAACTGTACTCGGTTGAGGTTTACTCATTCACTTTAGCTGAAATATTACAACTTTAAATTGTTCTCTGCATTTAAACAGGGAAATTATCTGGACAAGCAAGTCAACACTTGCTCGTAAGCCACGACCCTATCTCTCAATAGGGCAAGAGAGACAAGCAGGGGAGCCCATTTCTTCCTATGGTTAACACATGGCCAATGTTTAGTAAGGACTCGCTGACAGTGTAGCAACTTCTACCAAGTTTCAATGACAATTATATTTAAGTCTGGGGGAAGAAAACCAATTCAAACCAATAAATATATTTACCAAGTATCTTCAATCTCCAGGTCTTACAACAGCAATAAAGTAGTATTCTAAAAATCTACCTTTTAAAATGTCATAAAGACATGCCAGCACCATCCAGACCAGAGTATGGCACTAATATGTCTCTGGTGTATAATTCAATTGTTACTGGAAATATCTTTTAATTAAATTCTTTTTTCCCTAGAGACTTTAAATCAGGCTAACCCTTTTGCTCAATAAATTTCTCCTAATTAAACATGCAGTATTACGAATGGAATTTATAACTAGTCTTTTGAACTTTATTAAATGTAATCTGATACAAATTAGAAGCAGCTGATTATGAATAAACTGTTCAATTAGAGGCAGTGTGAACATTTTACAGGTCATATGATACCAACAGGTGTATGTTCTCTCTGTATCTACTGCATTTTAATGAGAGTGGTCTCCTATAAAACAATTGTTTAGCATAATTTTACATTGGCAAAGCTATGAGTTATCTTAAAAGTCCTATCTCCACATGGGAATAGTCCACTGGTACTCAGCCTATTTGGAAGGAGACAGAGTTCCATTCTTAGAATACCAAATTACTAATCCCATCAGTCATTACAAACATTCAAGGAATGTGCATGCCTTCACTTAGACACCAACAATCATATTTTAGCCACCCAGTTGTTGAAAATTATGTGAAAGCTAAGGAAAAGTTTAACATTTTCTCCTACATAAACCCAGTCGGTTTGTCGATGACAAAATTACTTTATTGAAATGCTCAGGCATGCACAGATGGAATGCACTATTCTTTTAAGTGCTAAATTTCTGAAGCAGTGGAAAAATTCTTTTTCTTGATTCAAGGCACTAACCATACCACAATGCACTTTAACACTCCAATCGCAGGCAGTACATAGAATCTTATTTGTGAATAACGAGCTCAGTTTGATATTCTAAGGGAAACAAATGAAATTTCAAATATGAAAATAAAAACAATTCAGCACATAAAGCACACGAGTGTTCTATTTGCTCAGATTTTGATTCTATGATCTACAGATGATCTACAGTCCCATGGATCTGAACGCCTAAGAAGACCATCTGTAAACGGGTAGAGCTCTGCACTTAAAGGAAAAAAGTAGGTGTCAAGTCTTTAAAACCATGACAAAGAAAGAAAAATGGAATAGGCTCTTTCTTGTACTAACAACAGCAGCGAAGAGGGGGGCAAACTAAAGTGCCTTCTTAATCCTTCATCACTTACTCCTATTCAGCAGGCTCAGGAAAGTCCTGTTACAATGTAGTTTCTAAATGTGTGATCAAGTGCTCTACAGCAGAATCCCTTCAGAACATACATGGCAACCTCTACCTACCAAACACAGGCATGAAGACTACTAACCTGGTGCCTGTCACATAGACTGGGCTGCAGTAATCCATGGGTTGAGGACATGAGTGAAGGCATGGCACCATAGGACAGAGCACCCATGACGCTGTCATACTGACTCATGATTCTCTACTGTGGGTCTTGTGTCTGATCCTTCCGGAAGCATAGCCCTGGCCCAGTTTGCCTTCCTGGCCCATGCTGCCTCTAGCCAACCCCAGCAGCCCCGTTTCTAATATTTCTCATCCTAGGACCACTCTGTGGCCTATAGCAACAGCCTGATTCTATGCACGAACTCAACTTCAAAAGGTACAAGGGGGAGAAAAGGGGGACTTGCCTTCCAGGGGTACAAGGCAAGGTACTCTTCCTAAAAACTGGCTCAAGACTTAGCCCATCATTCTGTCAAGGCATTTCTTACTCTGCCCCAGAAGAAAATACTTTCATTAAAAGCAAATGTTGAGGGAGCTGGAGAGATGGGTCAGTGGTTAAGAGCAGTGGCTGCTCTTGCAAAGGACCCAGGTTCGATTTCCAGCACCTACATGGCAGGTAACAATGGCCATAACTCCAGTTCCAGGGGATCTGATACTCTCTTCTGACCTCCTTGGACAGTACACGACACAGGTGCAATTACAGACAGGCAGGCAACACACTCTTACTAATAAAATAAAAATAATAAATAAAATGTTAAAAAAAAAAGCAAATGTTGAATTACTAGGCCAGTACTTTTCTAACTGATTTCATAGTGTAAAATGAATGCTTAAACTATATTTCAGAATACTAAATTGGGAAGATAAAGTTCTTTCCCTTCAAGATTTATCAGTCTTAATTTATGTTAATATTTTTAATATCCGGAATTCCTGACATTCAAGCATATTAGGACTCTGCTTCTTGATGGGTAAAAATTTTTTAAATCCCTTTCTCCTAGCACATGAAAGAGTAGGTAAAATTCAACCAACTTTTGCAGTAATATACAGAAATACTTTAACACCCACAACTAACTGGAGAAAACATAAGATCTACTTTTACAAATGCAAAGTCAAAACTTCAAGTGCTTCAAAAATACCTGACTCAATGGAGTAAAGCACTTCAGCGTTTTCCCCTTTGTCTTTGTCCAGGGCTGTAACCTGCACCACAACTGAGCCCACAGCTGCCGATTCGTAGACTCGCCCTTCATAGGAGGAGCTGGTGAACCAAGGGGCATGGTCATTCATGTCACTGACATTGACCAGGATTCTTGCAAAGTTGCGTTTTACAGGGACATCCTGATCCCGGACCTAGAAGAACCAACACATTATTAACTCTGCTGGACGTTTCCTTTTCATGGATTAAAAATACCACTATCCCTCCACCACAGGAACCCTTCCAGTTAACAGTTGTAAGCAGGAAGCAAGCAGGTGCCGTACCATGACTGTGAGGACATGTTGCTGAATGGCTTCATGATCTAGTTTTTCAGAAGTGTAGAGCGAGCCACTTGTGGGATCAAGACGGAATTTCTTGAGGCTCAGTGGGTCTATGCTGCTCTGTAGAGTGTAGATTAGTTTGTTTTTCTCATCCTTATCCACTGCACTGATTTGCAGAATCTCGGTTTCTGGCACTGTGTCTTCAGGAATAACAATCTCATATTTTGATGTAGAAAACTGAGGACGGTGGTCATTTGTATCTATTACTTTGATGAATACCTGAAATGAAACAAATGGCAAATGGACTCATATAATGATATTCATAATTACAATGTTTTAATACTTGACGAATCAAGAAAATTACACATTTATTGAAAAAATGCTACTTGACCCAAACTAAATACAAACAAGAGAAATAAAAGCAACAAAATTCTAGAATGAAAGAAACTTTTGAAAACTGCTCATTTTGGGTACATTATTTACTTAAAACTTCCAAACTCTGGTGATACAATACTGTTTACAGGTGACTCCTTCTGAAATGGAGGTCAACTTCTCTTCGGTGTCCAGTGAAATGTCTGGAGACTACCCACAGAGGGGAAACAGTTTGCTTTGCCAGGATTTAGACTTCCCTTTTCCTAACACTATTAGAGTTGAGAAGAACGGTAATGCTATCTAAATTTCTCATTCTAATCTCTGAAACTCCAGGTTCCTTTTGTTTAAAAAGTATTTATTTTTGGTCTTTCTGAGTCAGGGTCTCCCTATAGCCCCAGCTGGCCTATAACTCACTATGTAGATCAGGCTGGCCTCGATCTCACAGAGATCCATCTGCCTCTGCCTCCAGAGTACTGGGATTAAAGGAGTGTGTCACCATACCCATTTCCTATTAAAAAATTTTAAATACAGAAAGAACACTGAGAAATGGTTTTAGGGCTGGGGATACAGCTCAGCACTTGAGAACTTCCTATCACACACGGTCTGTGGGCTAGGTTCCCAGTACAGCCCAAACAAGAAGATATGCTTTTAAATTACAGTCTTGTGACTTTAAAACCTACAGATAAGTAGCAAATGTTTATTTCCTAAAGGCAATTTGCATAGACTGAAAAGAAAAACTTTTGCCAAATATGTCAACATAAAAAGAAAGCTTTAGAGGAAAAAAGGGCAGATGTGGAAAAACTGAGTCTTAATTAAAAACAAAATGAAGCCAGAATTATTTACCTTGATAAATGAATAGTTTCAGAATGAGGAGACATATATGAATGTGGGACAGTGAAAGCACAAATCACAATAGATGGTTTATGCTTTACAAAGAAGAATTATGAGCTTTTCTGGCTTCTATGAACATGGGGCTTGCTTTACAGACTCAAGAAAAACAAGAGACCAAAGTTCTGTCAATGCCAGGTAACTCTGCTAACAACACTGGTGCACCCACATGAATACCACTTCTTCATGAGACCATACCAGTGTTCCCAAGGAACATTACAACATCAATGGATGCATTTTAATACAAAATTGTATTTGAATGCTAAATTCATTCACCAACCCACAGAAAAAGTTTATGTGAAAGTTATATAATCATTTGAAAGTACAGATGGCTCACTTTTAAAGGTCAAAGATGACCGGGGAAGCCTAGCTGAAAAGGGAAGTTCTAAACATTAAATCATGCTATACTTATACATTTAAAACTGAAGTTGACCATACAGCAGGAGCTAGGCAGGGAAGTTTAATCCTGCTCCAAGTTCAGGCAACCACTGTCAAACAAAACAGCTGAAAGAACACAGAAAGGTTTTGACAAGGAGATTCTGTTGGAACCTTCATCCTAGAGGATACTTGATCAACAGGCACCTACGCAGAAGGTACATGAGAAACAAGCAAAGGTGACTGTCCTCATGCCATGGGCAATGTCATATCCTGATGAAGCCTAAATTCTGCCCCATACACTACGAAGCACGTTTTGAGAAGTCAGAGTTAGCTGGGATATTCAGAAAGCTCACGTAAAGGAAGTAACATTTTGCTTAAGGTTTTAGATTGGCAGGTAAATGAGTGTGAGTCGAGGATGGTCAGGCTGGACAGTCAAAGGTAAGAATGCACACAGCTTTCTTCCAGAGACTAGAAAGAATGTAGTGAAGGAGAAGGAATAACTCGGAATCAAATACACAAAGCTGCATTCCCAAGCTGAGGCTGGAGAGCTCTGCATCATGAAGGCTCCAGCCCTTTTCATCTGAGGAAATTCACCTTTACCTACATCTGGGTGTTGCATAGCAACTTACTCCAAGAAGAGACATTCCATCTTAGAGGGAAGCTCTCTTTAAGACACAGGCTTCTCTATGAGGAGAAATTTCCTTCTTGGGGATGTTCCTTAAGAGTCAGGATGTTAAAGACAGGTAAAACAATAGGATGATCTAAGGGGAGGTGTAACATTCTATCCTGCAGGGAAGCTCCTTAAGCTAGGGCAGTAAACAGCTCAACAGCTTCAGGAAGTTCTAGAGACTGACCCTATCCACTACGCTCTACCATCCTCAAGCATATATATGTCCTAAAGACTGCTGAGAATCTCTCTCAGAGAAGCTGGGCTGCCTAGAGGAGGGCTTAGATCAACTTAGTAGCCCAGCAGAGTTGTGCAGTACACTCTAGGCTTCCAACTTTCACCAGTTCATCACCAAGGATGGGCGTTTAGTGGTGCAGCTGTCTCTGAATCACTGCTGTTCCCGTAAGTAACCCCAATAAATCTCAATGGTTCACCAAGTTGAGCTTTGGTGGTATCCTTACTTTGAATTGCTGTTGGTTCCTGATCCACAGTGAGTAAAGGTTTGTTCCTATCTCCCCACAAAGTGTTTCGTAAGACTCGGTCAGCTGGACCATTTTGGTAGCAGGTAGCCCAAGGTGAGTTTCAGGGACAGAGACCAGAGACAGAAAGGTGAATTTTAGGGAAGTAAGAACAAGGTGTTGTTGAACAGTTACCACTTGTGAATGCTTCCTGGGTAACAGGCTAAGAGCTTGAAGAGGGTGCGAGCCCTCTGTGCAGTCTCTCTTAACCTTCAAAAGAACTGGGAGGATGATCAACATCATTTTCCAGAGGAGGCAATGGAAGCAGAAGAGTTTGAGCTTACCCCTGCGTGGGAGTGAGAGGTGAAGATAAGCTTCAAACCCGGCCACCTGGCCAGAGTGTACAATGATGCCCCAGAGAAAGCCAAAGAAAACAGGAAAGCAAAACTGCTTCAATGCAATAGCAACAAAGGTAACTGGACTTCTATGCGCAGACACAGATGAGACAAAGCAGAGTGACTTGACCTGGTTAGTGCTGGGAAGCACCCCAGTAAGAAGGCTGCAGGACAGGGAAGCAGGGGAGGGCTATCTGGGCAGAGCATGGCACCCACGCTGACTCCTTCCCATTCTGCTCTGTGAAGGGTGTAGCCTGTGTGATTGGGAATGTTGCCTAAACCCTCTCAGATCTGGCATCTGCAGCTACTGACCTGGATGTACAAAAGCTGCTCTGCTGGTTCTTGAGTTTCACCCACAAACCCACATCTGCCCTATGTTCCAGGCCTTATCAGCACCGCTCAGATCCTGTGTTCCTTTTTGTAGGATCTGCTGCTCAGCTCTCTCCCAGATCCCTATCTCCCTGTCCTCAGTCCGAGAGGAACCCTAAACCTAATTAGTGAGCATCCCCTTTGTCCCACACCTTCACAGGTAAGCCTGGGCTCTGTCACAACTTCTCCCTGCTGAGATTCATTAGGATAGTCAGGACCATCTGAAAATAGTTCATGTATAAGAGAAAAGGAAACTAAATATGTTTCCTGTGTTGTACAGGAATTTCACCCAAAGTCTGCCATTGTTCCACGCTAAGCTACTACACTAAGAATACAGTTTTGAGAAAGAAGTACACCGTTAAGTGTTCACTTGCATAGCAATACAGCATGTGGATTTAGTGAGAATGGTCCACACAGAGGCCGTGTCTGCTGCTTACCAAATTTCTTCCTGCCAGATTTCCAGCTAATCATGGGAATTAGATTGTGCACATTTACACTCTTTAAACCTTTCTCGCAGAATTATTTTAAAATTTATTGCAAATTTTGATGTATTTATTCTCACTTCCATTCTCTAAAAAGTTTAACTTCAGCAGCTTATTTTCAAAGAGAGAAAAACCTATTTATGTTGCTTGTCACTACAATGACAAGACAATATGGTACCAGAATTTTCATGCAACAATCTCAAAATGACCCCAAAAAGCACATACTGGGCAGGCAATACTGATTTTATATACATTAAAAATCATAAATATTTGGAGAAAAGAATAAAATATTTTCATAACTAGCCTTAAGTTATCTAATCATTTATTCATTGGAAATATATCCCGGGCCAGGCACGGTGATGTACACCTTTAATCCTGGCACTTGGGAGGCAGAGGCAGGCAGATCTCTCTGAGTTCCTAGCAAGCTTGGTCTACATGATGAGTTCCAGGACAGCCTGGGCTACACAGTGAGACTCTCTCTCAAAAGAAGAAAAAGAGACAGGCAGACAGAAAATGTATCACAGACTGTATGTAGTTTTTATTCTTCAGTGTAACTAAATGACAGAGCAGACAGCATGTCTCATTTAAGAAGAGAATAATCTAAAGATAGAAAACTAGAATTCAGAAGTGCTTTACCTTCTTTCTCAGGGATATTTAAACAACAGACAAGTCTTTAGCTTCTGTCATCCTAAGGTAAGCTCCAAGAAGGCAGAATTTGCCCTGTTACCACAGTATTCAGCTTCCAAAACCACATCTGGCATGTTATAACTATTCAACAAGAGGGGGCACGGAGGGGAGTGTCTTCCTCCTAAAACCCCACAGTGATTAGTCATCCAGGAACACACCTTTTGTATAGCTCCATCAGCCCACATTGAGAATCAAGGAGACTTAGCAAGAAAAGACATTTAACTTACATGGTTTAAACATTTAAGTTTGAAAGCCACAACTCACTTTACCATCAGGTGGCAACAAAAAACATTAAAGAAATTATAAGAACAACCTGAAGAATCATTTTTCTATAGCCCCAGCTCACTTAAAGAAAGGAAGAGAAGCTGGTGGTGCATGCCACTTGGTGGCACACTCAGGAGGCAGAGGCAGGCGGATCTCTGTGAGTTCAAGGCCAGCCTGGTGTACATAGTGAGTTCCAGGCCAGCTAAGGCTGTCTCAAAAAGACCAAAAAATAAAAATTAAAAAAAAAAAAAGGAAAGGAAAGGGAGGGAGGATTGATAGCACTAATATTGATAAGCGTAACATATAATCACTTTAGTCAGCTTTCAAGAAAATGAAGCATACGATTCATTCTTAGCAGTAAATACACTCCACATTAGCACATCTTAAATTAAACATGAGTATGAAATTTACAACATTTCAATGGCAAAAGGACAACAGCATGGTTTGGTTTTAAGTCTCCTTTCAAAATTTTTCTGACAGCTTAATCACATGCAAAGCCCAACTGGGATTTGCCGTTTGTTTTCTTTTCCTAAATAAGGACTGCTAGTGCACAGGTGTGTGAACTACATCAGTATACAACTGCCCATGCTGTCTGTGGAGCCCGACACGAGGATGTTATCTCCATCTCTCTGGCAAACACATCATTAGTGTCCACTTACCTGAGTGAGGATAGTGGTGGTTCCGTCTGTAGCCTCCACTGTGAGGTTATAGCTGGACTTCTGCTCTGCATCCAGGGGTTTGGCAACAATGATGGTCCCGGTGCCCTTGTCGACATCAAAGTGACTGTCATAGTTGCCACCTAGTTTAAATGACAACAAACAGAAGTGCTAAAGCAAGTCACAGGACAGAAATCTGTCACTTGTTTTGTGGTTTCTCAATTCTTAAAGGCCATGAAGAGAGGCCTCCAATATAACATTCAAAGTGATTCCAAGGAGCTAGTGTTTCAAAAGGCAAGGAAAGGAGCGGCCAACTCTAAAGACAAGGCTTTTAGGGAAAAACTGGGCCTTAATTGTTAAGGAAGCCAGGAATTGAGAGGAAGCATGAAAGTAGGTCTGCATGCAGAGAACCCTGCTAATATAGTCTGTCAATCCTTTTATTTTGATTTCTTAGGCATCCTTAAAAGCCCGTATGCCAGTTTACAAACAGCACTGGCCATATAAAATTTTTATTACTGAAAATTTTTGTTCTATTTTGAGAATACAACACTAATAACTATTAACAAAACAATCGCTAACTCTGAAACAAACAGTTGAAGTTAACGCCAATCAGCCCTATTACAAACTACCTGAAAATATTTTCCCCTTGTTATCATAGAGCTTAATGAAGTTATTGTCCTATTAATACTATCCAGATACCTCCTCAACTATATTCTAAATAAACTCCTTTTCAAATTCATAAAGCTTCAGACACTGACAATATAAAAAGAAATGCAGGGGACTGAAGAGATGGCCTGTCAGTTAAGAGCACTGGCTGCTTTCACAGAGAAGCTGCGTTTCATTCCTAGCACCCACAACCATCTAAAACTTTGGTTCCAGGAGCTATGAAGCCCTCTTCTGGCCACTGAGGGCACTGAATGACACGGATGCACTTACATACATGCTGGTCAACTCATACATACAAAATAAAAATAAATTAAATTTTTTTTAAAACTTAAAGAAATGGAGGGAAAATAAGGCTTAATGTCCTCATGAAATTCTACTGCTAAATCTACTCCAAAACCATAATCACAGACACACATACAGACAGACAGACACAAGCACGCACACACACACACACACACACACACACACACAGTATTCAGTCAAACCTGAAACTCCAGGTGCAGGGATGACTAAGAATCAATGTATTTGTTGTAAATGGGATGAGTGACAATGTACATTATTATGAAAAGAACAATGATAGAAAATAAGTCACTTGAAATAAAAATCAATGCTTTCGTTTTAGATCTCATAATCTGGGGTAAATTATGTGATCTCAGCAGCTACCTTCTGCTGTACAGTTCAGGTCACAAGTCATCTGAAAGATGTGAAACACTTCTCTACCAAGCGTATCTCCTGGGCAGCCCAAAGAGGCAAGCAAGCGTGGAAAGCAAGCACAGAAGAAAGGTTCAATCAGTTCCAGACACAGTGAGTATTAAACTGCAAAGTCGGATGTGCACAGTAGAAGCTGGTTAATCAGGAAATGTGATAAAGGTTAATAGAAAGTAAGCTACCTTGATTATAGTTAGCTATGAAATTAATCATGTTTCCCTTAAGATAAATAGTAATGGCATCAGAGGTCAATAACCATTTGCATACTGAAAGGTAACATGGCTAAGAGGGAAAAGTGCTAAGAAGTTTCAGCTAGAGATGACTGTTGCAACCCACACTTTGGATCTAAGTATCCTTGTAATTAAATATTGTGAAGAAATGGAATAAAAAAGATCTAAGGGCAAAGCATCTATAATCCCAGCTACTCAGAAGGCTGAGGTAGGAGGATGACAGGTTTAAAGCCAGCCAAGCAACTTAATAAAACCCTATCTCAAAATTAAAAACTAAAAGCAAGGGGCTAGGGTACAGCTTAGTAGCAGAGACTTTGTTTTGCATATGCGAGGGCCCAAGGGTTGGATCTCCAGTACAAAGTGTAGGTGGGAAATGGAAGGAGTCATCTAAAACACAAAATTCTAATGTAAAATTTTAAATAGTACACTGAATAGGGTATTATAATCAAGTGTGAACTCATTAAATAACACAAGAAAAGAATGACTTAAGCATGTGCATTTTATAAGAGACTGAAGCAATCTATAAACCCAGTTTCCTATAGAAAGTACAGTAAATAAAACTAAAAAGCTGAATTTAGCACTTATAATGTTTAAGTTTTACAAATCAGGTTTTGTAAGCTTATTTTCTATTAAATACTGACAGTTATATAAACACTGCTACTTTAAATGTTTGGACAATAGTCACTACCACTTTACATATAAATATATGTATCAAGAATTGAACTAAAACATTTAGGTTCTTGAAATCCCCTCATGTACTTCCAAAGAATTAAAACAAACTCTCGATGACTTGATGGCTTTGGAGTACCTACTTAAAGTAAGTTTAACACATAATATGAAAATTTTTATAGCTTAAGGGAATTCTCCACCTATGTCTTTTCCCAATTTTGGGATCTGAGATATGCATAAAAATCAGAAAACCGCATCAGATTTCTCAGTGTAACCCACACAAGGACAACAAAAACTATGAGCCCCGCTTACCAATGATTTCAAACCACAGAGGTGTGCCGGGAGGCTCCACTGACAGCACCCCGATCATGTGAGCCACTGGATCACTTTCCATTACAGTAAATGTGAAAAAGGATTCTTCAAATGAAATTGGCTCCAAGGATGGTTTGGGTTTGGAGATCCACTCAATATGGAGTCTGGTGGTTGATGACTTCTGAGGACGCCCATTGTCAACTGCTTTAATCTATAACACAGGAACAGAAACAGTGAAAACAGCAAATCACAATTTATACCTCCTAAAAGAAGCAAAGATTGCTTTGATTTTCATTCAGCTGAGTAGGCTTAAATATTTCATATTTATACATGAATACAGTACATGTTTAGTGTTTGGTAACAAGAACGGGTACTTCATGACTGTATTCACCGGACACAGTAAACAACAAGAGAATCCATAAAGAAAAAACGAACTTGAACTTCTCAAACATGACCAGGTAATGGCTAATTGTTGGGTCATGAATACCACAGCCATTCACTCAATAGGGATAAAGTTAGAACAGCCTCCAGACCAGGTTCATAGAGGAGTATGGAAGAAATTCAGAGACTAGGTTTTCAACTCACTGAAAGAATATCATATTCTCCAGCTGCAGAGAACTTTTTGGATGAAACCACTCCAGTTTTGGGCTCAATGAAAAATTTCCCATGCTCGTTTCCTTCCTCTATGCTGTAGGAGATTTCTGCATTGGATCCTTCATCTTTATCTGTAGCTATGACCCGGTACAAGGGCTCTCGCTTGGCGTTTCTTTCTCGTTCTAGTTTTTCTCGCTCAGGAAGCCTGATTTTGTAGAACTTCTGCAGGAACTGAGGTTTGTTATCATTTTCATCAAGGATTTTGACAATTACTCTTGCAATGGTAGATTTGGGGGGTGTTCCATTGTCTGTCACAGTAACCTGTTTTTTAAAGAAAACAGATATTTTTAAAGACATGTTAAAAGGGAACACCTTTTTCCTAACCCATTTGTATAAACATAGTTCACACAGCACCATGCTCCATGTTCCCTCCTCTCGTTCTGAAACTGGCTTAGGAAGTAGTTAAGTGACCTCTCCTGGCTTTACAGACAGGATGCAGGAACCTGGGCAGGGCCTAAGCAACAGCTGTCACTCTTTACTCTTTGTTGAACAATCTCTCTCTTCCTTGCACCACTGTTAATGGTACAATACAGTTTATCAAAATGTTAAACCAAGCTAGGTGTGGTAGGGCACGAACTTAACCCCCGGCACTCAGAGGCAGAGGCAGGCAGATCTACATAGATCAAGGCCAGTCTGGTTTACATAGCTGGGGCTAGAGGGAGACCCTGTCGCAAAAAGACAATAAATAAATAAATAAATAAATAAATAAATAAATAAATAAATAAATAAATAAATAACAAAGCTAAATATTTTTAGGTCATGGATGAGATGATACCTGTGTTATCTTTTTTAAATTCCTCTTAAAAATTCATTTTGTATATTTAAACAAATTTCCATATGTTATGTTGAAAGACTACCATTTTTCCATTTTTAAGTTTCTTTACTAGCGCACACTAAAGCATTATTCTAAAGTATATACTACTTACTACAAATTTGAATACTATGCTAAGCATTATGGATTTAAACACTAGTGATCATTGTGTCTGATGATTTTATGGTACCACTTTAGATGCTTACGAAGGTAAACAAATATTTAACACCATTATTTTAAATAAGATTTTCAGCAAAAGCAATGTAAAATAACCTGCATTTTAACTAAGTTATCTATGTGCTCAGGTTGGGGTTAAAGCTGATGTCAGAGGATTATATTAGTGAATATAAACCAAGTGAACATCACCCTCGAAAGTTCACATATACCGCGGTGTGCACATTAAAAATAATGACCTTAGTCCTGACTTTACTCACCCATACCCCCACCCCCTTCTAAACTATGAAAAGATTAAAAACCTCCAAAGAGACTGAAGTTTTCCATGAAATTATTTTGTTTTTGAAACTCGGTAGTTGCAAATCCTACTTATAAAAGTATGACTATATCCTTTGGGGATGACTTACTAAGAGAATTTAAGAAAATAGTAGTTGCTTTAACTCATTAAAGTGTAAGGTTTATCTTTCTAAGCTTTTCAGAATAAAAATTAAAATTATTCTTTGGAATACTCCCGTCTTGTCACTTCTCAGACAACCTTTACAGAGAGAGGAGACACAACCAAACCCTTCGCACTGTAGGCAACAGCACCAAATTGTTCCTAAGTTTGAAGTTAATAACAGCTCTTCCAAGTTTTTGAAATAAAGCACTCTCCTCTCTGAACTAGCCAAATCAACACCAGCTCAGGTCCACAGAAGAACTATAGAAAGGCACAGGGACAGACACACTCAGACACACAGACGCACAGACAGACACACACAACATACACTGAAATTACTACAGCACCTCTTCCCATCGGTGTCTTAACACCATCTTCAGAGCCCTCCCTATCCCATACCTGCTCCCCCCTCCCTCTGACAGCCACTGAAAATCAGGGTTCTGAAGTGAAGACGTGGCTGATGTGAAACCTGTTGTTATGACCAGAGTGAGGGGACAGAACCCAGATGCCAGTACAGAAACCAGCTATTCTTGTTATCTTCCAAGTTTATTCTCTCCAGCACTCGCATTCTCCTGGTATCAATTTCTGTAGTAATGAAAATTTAAAACCATGCTCTGCAATAAAGAAAGTCAATTTCAGGTAGCTAACACAATCTATGAACTAAAAACCTTAGATGCAGCACAGTTGGACAAGATTACTAATAGGAAAACACTGGCTCTGAAAGCACCTTTTCTACAAGGAAAGGTGCTTTTGTTTGGACTTTTTGAAACAGGATCTCCCTGTAGCCCCAGCTGGCGTGAAACTATGTAGACCAGGCTGGCCTTGAACTCAGAGATCTGCCTGCCTCTGCCTCCCAAGTGTTGGGACTACAGGTGTGTGCCACCACACCCAGGTAAGAGACATTTTTTACTGAAATATTTAAGTGACAAGTGAGGACATCTTGACTAAAGAAGTTAAGTAAACTGCATTATGAACAATAATAATATTTGAAAAAGAGAATTAGAAAATTACCACTTAGAACTCCCTCTGTAAATCATACTGTTAAAGAAGGCAACTCACTAGTGACAAAAGCACCTGACTCTAAGGTCTGGCTCTGCTAATGAACACACTAGCCTTCAGCACGTGGTGAGAAATGTCCACGGAGGCACAGGCTAGCTCTGCTGCGTCCCCTCCCCAAAGGCCGCCTTGTTCTTGGCTGCTCCTAGCACGCAAAGGCAGCTAGCATTCTGCCCTGTGTACTTTACCTGTCTCCCTTACATCCCCCGACCCCCATTCTGCAAACAACTGACTGCTGGCCAGAAATGGACAATGAATGAGAAGACGTCATTACAAGAGGACATGTTTGGTTTCTATCTACTTTTACTTTTGAAAATTTTAGAGAGCTTATTTCAGTTACCAAACATTTCAAGTTTAAAACTGCACAACTAATACAATGATTTCAGAGTGAAAAGGATCTGTAAATGAGCAAACTACAGTTGAAAGGGTTGAATTTAATCTATAAATACAATTTAAACACATCCCAAAAGCACAATACTGAAGAAAAAGCAACTTACAGAAGTATATCACTTCTGTATATAATGATGTAATTTAAAAGGAGTGTTCCAAATGTATTTACTATGTGTATGCACATACTGCATATATGAAATGGACGTTACCACAGAGATTGTAGATTCAGAGGATGGACTGAGGTCGGGAAGGGCAGGAGACATATTCAAAACTAAGGATTTGCAGCTATGAATGCTGGGTAATGGAAGCAAGAGTATTCCTAAGATACATATGACTGAAAATGTTTTAAAAGTAATTACAAACGAAGGAATACTTACTTCTAATATGTGTTCTCCTTGCTGCTCTCGGTCTAGTTTCCTCGATGTAGTTGTGATGAGACCTGAAAAATGATGGGTGTTTATTGATCCTAGCAAAACATGACCAAGACTCATTGTTTCATTTATAAACCACAAACATTCCTTGCACTTTCTTGTTTTAATGATTCCTGGAAGCACTGGGTAAATGACAGAGCTATTAAAAAAAAAATGGGGGGGGATCTTAAATGTTACATTTTCTACTTGGTAGTTATAATGGACATTATGTTAAAACAAATCTTTAAAAAGTAAAATGAGGTTATCCAGAATTTTATCTTCACCTCTATCTCCTTTAACAGCTCCAGAGGTAACAGAATTGAAGGAATTAACGTCTATAATCATATTAAAAAGGAATCATTAAAAAACATGTCACCATAACTCATTAACTTCCAATCATCTACCATCAAAGGTGAAGAACTGTTGTTAAAAAGTAATGCAATTTCCCAGGTAATGTTGCTCAAACAATAGTCACTTAATTTCCAACAAAAAGAGAAAAATGATTCTCAAAGAAATTCTATATTCCTTTCTTTGACTATCCTATCAAGCTAGACTATGTTATAACTTTTCTCTAGAATTTTAACAATGGTCTCTGTAACTATCAAGTTGCTTTACCCTAGAAGATTATTAAATGTATTTGTGTGCTTTGTCAAAAATATAAACAGAATTCCCCTAATCACGAAAGCATCCTCTACAGCTAGTATCAATGTAGGGCAGGTGCCTGTGGAGTGTAGTAAGGACCAGACCTGAGGATCAAGTGAAGTCTACACAGCAAGACAAGAATTGGAACTATCCTTCTTCTATCCAGCATTGCCACGCAAAGAGTTCAAATAATCTGTATTTAAGAACTGGCTTTACAGATGTAAAGACAAGAGCAAGACAGTCAATGTTCCAGCGACTGAGGAACTATGACAGGTGATAGCTTCTGGGGGAGGGACAGTTCTCTTTAAGGGTGTGGCCTCTGGTAGGTCAACCATGCTCCAGTGCATGGCCCCACACTCATACGTATATGGACTGTACAAATTGAAATCAGTTATTTAAAAACAAGGGGCTAGAGAGATGGTTCAGTGGTTAAAAGCACTGACTGCTCTTGCAGAGGACCCAGGTTCCATTCCCACCACCCACATGACAGCTAACAACTGTCTGTAATTAACCAGTTCCAGGGGGCCCAGTGCCCTCTTCTGACCACCACAGACACTGCACGACATGGGTGCACATATGCAAGCAACACTCATACACATTAAAAAAAAAAAAAGAAAAAATTAACAAAAACAACAAAAAGGGCATGGCGACCTGCCCCACATCTTTAATTCCAGCACTCAGGAGACAGAGGCAGGCAGATCTCTGAGATCACGGCCAGTCTGGTCTACAAATTGCATACCGGGTCAGCTGGGCAATTAAGGAGAAAAAAAAAAAAAGGACACAAAGTTGGGAGGGGTATAGAGTGAATGGGATGGATCTGGGAGGAGTTGGAGGAAGAGTGATGGGTGAATATGATCAAAATAAGAAATTCTCAAAGAAGTAGTAAAAATATTGCATTAAAAAAGAAATGGCTTTATTCTCGTAATTTATTTTCTCTTACAACCTTAACCACTTTCACAGAAACAATTAATTGTTGTTCAAAATGCTTCTCTAAATTTGTAAATGCAAGATTTTTGTTTTTACTTAATTCCATTTTTTTTACCTTAAATATCTACTAAGAATTATCTTCCTTGTGATTTAGTGAAACAGTGTTCTCCTTTCAAGAAGAACAACAAAAGACCCTATTGTAGCTGGACAGTGGGATTTTTCCTATACATAGAATGTGAAGGGGACTCAAGGAGGATGTTTCCAGCTGTGTAACAACATGACAGTTGCTGGATGTGGCACAGAGCTGGGTTTAACTAGCCATAAACCTTTTAATCCTTTGTTTCTCTATCAAAAGTTTACTAGTCCTTGCTGTCTTCAATGTGTGTTCAAAGCTGTTCAAAGTGACAAGAAATCACTTTGGTTAGTCCTACCTAACTGCGGTAATGTGCCCTTCAAAGAGTCACTACCCCTGCTAAGATGGTATAATGGCCTGGAATGCTCACAAGATGATCCTGTCATTCCCTGAGAGCACCACTCACATGCTAGCAAACAAACTTTCCTGTTTTATACTTGACTTATACCAAACTGCTAACAAGGGATTGACTAAAATCTGTATCACCGATTCAATATGGAACCAAGTTACCTGATGGTCTTCTTCATAGGGTTATTATTATTTACACATCTCACACATTTCCTGTTAGTTCTCCCTCTGTAACTCGTGGAACAGAGTTCCATTCAAATGCAATGAACTGTAAGGTCTTACAGATTTCAGTCTGGTTATTTCTGCTTACTCCCAATCCCGTTTCAGTTTAAACTCCTATCCTGAAGTCCACTTATTCGGCTTTCTGGAGATAGTGATGCCATAATGGGAACAGGGGAGTCCATTTATATTTTCTCTGCCATAAAATATTAACCCAAATATTAACCCAAGCCTAAGACAGTTTCTTTTAGCCAGCTTGCTTAAAGCACTACATATACTGCACCATTAATTTTTTTTAAAAGCCACAAACACCTTTTTCTTTTAAAAGTTAAAAAAAATCTATCATTAAAACTACTAAAGAAAGAAGAGATTTAAAATATGAACTAGACAAGAGAATCCTCTAAGCCTGAAAATGATACAAATTGATAGCTTGCAAAGGGGGGACCCTATTTATCATGTACTTACAGACAGGCTGTGCCAGGTGAGGACAGGGTGTAGGGGCTGGTGAGGTCTGACAGACCTTGAGAGAATGAAGTTCAGGGAGGCAGTCAGAGGTACTTGGACAGGTGTGGGTCAGACAAGGAGCAAGAAGATAAGAAAGCGAAAGAGCAACCATGACAGGTCTTCAGAAAAGCACAAAACCCCAACTGGAGTCAGTGGCAGGAAAGAGCAGCCCTAGTTGAACCTGAGACCCTATGCACCTGAAGAGAAACCTCCAGTGTTCCAGAAGCTGAAGGAAGAAACAGAGGATGTACTATTTCCTCCACAATTTCAGAGCAACTTGGAAGAGGACAGAAAGGAGCAGGAAGGTGTTTCTAGAAAACATGCTTCTTTGATGAAGGGGAAAGACTGAGCGGGTCACAACTGAAAACACGACATAAGCAGCTCTAAACAAGAAGTTCCAGACGCAAGCAACATAGAAGCCGCTCAACTCATGTGACTGCAATAATTCAAACTGATGAAAATTAAAACAATTTATAATTTGGTTTAGTCACATTTTAACTGGGGCTACGGAGCCTATGATGGAACAGGGCATATATGTACCACGCCCCACACTACAGGAAGTTGTAACCCACAGCACTGATCCAGGTGTGAAATCTAATCCAAATCAAACTCCCATAAGAAATGCTGCAAGTATGTGAATATATTAGATAGTTCTAATAAAGCCTTTCTGGATTCACAAGACTCACGTAAAGGAATTCTACTGAAGGTATCTAGCTAGAACTATTCCCCTGAAAGCCTTCACCTCCGACAGGGCAGCAAGGTCGGAGGATGCTGAGGGATGGTATAAGAAAGTGCTTACTACAGAATTTCCATACAGAATGAACTCTAAAAAGATAATAAAATTCCTTAATGTAGCAGGAAAATACTAGGAAAGCTGGGTGATTTTCAGAGGTATGTTTTACCTTTTGGCAACTAAGCTCACCTAGAGCTCAGCACCCTGGGATGCTGGCCCAACATCCCACACTCGGACCTTCCAATTATTCTTTTCATACTCTTTCCTATTGCTCTGTTTTTACATGTTATTCCCTCTAATTCCCTCCCAATTCCTTCCCCACTTGACAAATATCTGCTTCAAAATGAATCCACAACATACCTTCCCCATATATCCACTACGTGATTAACCTTGTAGGTGTTAAATAACCAAGAAGCATTCAACATCCTAATGTATAATAGTATTATGCATTTCTTCCTTTTAAAAAATTATATGTATTTGCTTTTTTTTTTTTTTTTCGCTAAATCCCAGAAACACACGCAGACATAATAGGAACAGCACAGATTTCCAATGATCAAGGTCAGGTGCCTAAGCTAAAACAACGTTGAATTTTTCTGAGGTCACCAGTAACTCATTAACAAGGCCATGGTTAAAAATTAGTTCTCTGGAGACCTATGAGATATTTCCCCCTTCCCACCACACCAAGCCGCATAATTTCCTGCACTGTGGTATTTCAACTGTTTGTAAAATCTTAACTATGACTTCCACAAAATTTTAGGGAAAAATGGAAATGCTTAATCACTGTTCATTTTAGTCAGTCCAAAAAAAGCAAGTTAGAAAATAAAATTGTGGATAGAAGCAGAAAAGTGCATGTACAAGTGCTTCCTTTTGTAGCTGTGCCTTTTATTTTCATTGTTGCAAGCACCTTTAAACTAAAAAATAGAAACAGAGGGATAGAGACTAGAAATTTTCCTTCCTTGATTCAGAAAAATACTGTAGTCGTTATACAAATCCTACCATAAATGTGGGCGGCTGAAAACGCAGGCAACTCATCTTCTCATTAATTAGCGGTTACAAATTTATCTCACAAGTGTGAGATGGCTAGGTGAACCAATGGGCAAAGACAATAACAGGGAACAGACCAGAGGAGGGGCTGTATTTATACATGCGTTCAACTATTTTTTTACTGTCCACTCAGAGTACAGAAGTGATTAAGAGAGAGTCTTGTTTTCAAGAAACAAGGATGAAGTCTAGAACTTGACAAAGACTAAGACAGACCAGTGGTGATGCACATGGAAAACAAGCGCCCTCGCTGAGAAAACTATCACCCAAGAAGGCATGAACTTGGCTGGATGACAGGTCGCTAGTCATCCCTGCTGCTCTTACAGCCAAACACCCAACACTGAGGTATGGTCACCCAAGAACAGGCAGTCCCAGGCCAACCACCAGCTGACCATCCCTGAGTGAAAGATCAGTCAAGTCTGGACAAGGCCAATAAGGGCCAACAGGGTCTTAAACTAAATTATAACTGTTGATTTATGTCA